CTAGTTGATGGATCAAATCATAATAAGGCTCTAAATAATGGCCGAAGCATCTCTTCTTGTTAAATCTAATCAAATTGGGGACACTAAAAGTTTGCCGACCTTAGCTGTCGAATCTAGGGGTAATTGTCCCAATATTCTTAAACATATTATATAACAGCCAATTCAGTCATAAACCTTTCAATTTGGTCAATTTAATCCTTAACCATTTGACGATTCGCCAATATAGTCCTTCCGGCTAAAATTGGTCGGAAATAGCTAGTGTGGAAGCTGGTAGTCTAATGTAGCACGGCCGATGCTAAGGTGAACAATTTTTGCATTTTTTAAATAATTTTTCTGAATTTCTTTCTTTTTCTGTTTTTTTTCACCATTTTTAACAAATTGAAGAGAAGTGGCCATTCAATTTGCTTTATCAATAGCATGTATTAGCGCACTAACATCTAATCACTGAGGTATTTGTACAAATAAGTATAATCACGTTAACTGCAAGACGTTGGTCTCTAACTAGAAAAGTAAATGCCTGAACCATTATGGCAAGGAAAAGTTTGATTCAAAGGGAACGACCGACCCATTTTGAAATCTAGGGAGGCGGATGAAGATCAAGAAGTTATCGAAATTTAATGTGTGGTTGGTAAACAAGGATTAGTTTTGAAGCCAAAATCGCCAGTAATCACCGGTCAACTATACGGTGGCTGAATTCTTTCTAGTTAAAGGATCTCTTTCTAGTTGCTCTGGAAAAATTAGGAGATTTTTACCAAGTTCAATGTTAGCCAGATTAGTCAACATTTAAATGTTTCAATGCAACAACAAGCTTCTACTGTAGGCATCATTTTTTTATTTTCGTACAAGGCATTCAGTCAGAGTCCTAGTAGTCTCTTCCCACTACTTGGGAGCTTATGGTTTCTCCATAGGGCCCTCTTATCTCTTCCTTCTCCGAGTGAATTTTACTTACTTTATACATTATACATCACATAGGTCATTGATTCAGCATTGTTCATGTATAAAATATAAATTCTTTATTTTGATCATACTTCTGCAATGCATTGTATGTCCCAGAATAACATTCGAATAAAAGACATTTTTTATTTTTCTTCTTAATAGTTTTACCCTTCATAAACACGGACGTTCTTTCAATAAATATCTAAGCCGGCGTCTTCAATAAAATTTGCCATTTAGCCATTTAAAAGAAGTTCAAAACCAATATGAATGCATGGAGAAGGACAAATCTGACCCAACCCCACGAGCTATTTTCATGGGAAGACAAAAGATTCAACTGAAAATGAAATTAATTCGTTCATGAATCTCGATTGATTTCACTGGCCGTCGTGTTATAGTCTTAGAAGGGTCCCAAAAAGCTGCCAAATTGGAGAAACTTACTTCATGGGTTTGAACCTAAATTTCTAGGAAAATTACTAAAACAGTTTTCAACCTATTGCAATTGTGCAAATTCAGTCTTAAACTTTTTGTATTTTTGCCAAATCAGTTCATCTAGCCAATTTAGGCCTGCCAGCACTGATGTGGACGCCGACCAGTGCCGGCCGTCCAGCCAATACTGACGTGACAATTTTTTAGTATTTTTTTCTCTTTCTTCTTTTTTCCTATCTTCTTCCTCGATCAATCGCCGAACCAGCCAGAGGCTGAGGCCGGCGAGGTTGAACTCGCCGGCCACTGGCGGGGGCAAGCCTTATCGTCACTGGGTGAACTTGAGCCTCGCCAGATCTAGGCGACCTCGCTGTCGCCGAGCAAGCTCGAGCCTCACCGTGATCGAGCGAGCTCGACCTCGCCCAGCGACGGTGAGGGTCAGCCTTGCCATGGCTGGGAGAGGTCGAGCTCGCCCAGCCACGGCGAGGCTCACCGTCTCTACAGCGAGGGGGAGCCTTGACATGGCCGAGCGAGCTCAACCTCACCCATTAACAACGAGGGTGAGCCTCACCAGTGACCGGCGTGGGCCTCAGCCTCTGGCTGGTCTGATGACCAACAGGGGAAGAAGATAGGAAAAAAAAGAAAGAGAGAAAAAAAAATTAAAAATTGTCACGTCAGTGTCGGTCAGACGGCCAGCATCGGCCGGCGTCCATGTCAATGTCAGTAGGCCAAAATTGGCCAGATGGACCAAATTGGCACATATACAAGAGATTTAAGACTGAATTGGCATAATTGCAAAAGGTTTAGGACTGTTTTGGTAATTCCCAAATTTCTATACTTCAAACACTCTCAAAACAAAGGAGATGCGATAGAAAGATACAGAATTCGTATGCTAAAAAATTGCTGTCTTTTATTTTCCACCTTTTAATTGCTCTCTGCATCAGCTCGTAAATTTGCTGACGGCTTGAAGATTTTGCTCGAAAACTTTATGCCATCCGTTTTGGTGGGCTATTACGAAAGGAATGACGCCATCTCTTTTGGGGCGCATCTCCCCGTAGATTGCTGCACCAGCGGCAACAAAATATCTTTCGTTCGCATTAATTTGAAATAATCTTTTAAGACTGCTGAAAGATTTCTCACGTTGAAAGTGCATTGATCAAGCAGAAATGTAGGTCAAATTCATGATCGAGAGATGTACAAGAGTTCTGTCTATCACGACCCTCACAATTTTGGCCGCATCTGCATGTCCTTCTCATTAGTAATGAGATCCAGAAAATTTGTTTACTTTTGCTTTTGACATGTATCACTATGAATATGAACCTTACCGAAAGCAAAATAGGAAGAAGAAAAAGAAGTGGGGAATTCGTATGAAAATTGTCAGAATCATATGCAATCGGAACTCAAATTCTGATGATAGATTGTGTCAATTTTCCGCATTTTTGTCTTGCAATTTAACAGAAAAGAGAGGTATGATTAATTCATATTCTTGCCATAAGAGGATACGTTTAGTGTCGCCAAAAAGGGAAAAAAGGTCGCTCGCAAAACAAAGGCTATGTGATATTCAAGCTGGTAAAAATAGCTCGAAAGACAAAGGAAATGTGATATCGATTCTGTCTCTTAACGTCCTCTTCTGGTTGTTGGGAAGGCCATTCCTGCTGCTTTATTCGTTCTTTTCTGAACTTTGTTTACTTTTGATAAAGCTAGAGCGCTTTGACATGGGAATCAATCCCATATTATGTAGGGAAACCACTGAAAAATATGATATATGTTTGGCATAAGCCCACCAACAGACCTTTCTGGAAAGACTAGTATTGATAACTTGGCTTCTTAGAAGGGTTGAATAAGTTGAATCCCAATCCTCACCACCAATTATATTCCATCTTAGCCCAATTATAAAACATCACTATGATAATGGTCTGAGCTTTTAGAACGGGCAACACATGTATAAATTGAAGCACCCACTCGCTTGCTAAAGTGAATAATGGGGTGGATCTAATCTAATAGCTTTTTTCTAGTGGGCGGATCTTGCATATCAAATTGACTCCCAACCCGCAAGGCAAGTGGAACTCGTCTCATCGGAGATTTGCGTCCATCACTTCACACTATATAAGTTGAAGCACTTACTCGGATGCTAAACTGCAAATGGGGAGGCATCAAATCCTCGGACTCCTCTGTTTCCTTTTTTTCTTACATTTCTCCCTTCCCCGTGCCACGTCCCCTTGCCCACCTGACGAACGTGATGCCTTGCTCCTTTTTAAGAATTCGTTCGTGCTTGACAGGATAGCGTCCCACTTTAGTTGTGACGAGCTTCTTCGAATCACCTCTTATCCAATCACAAGGTCATGGAACAAGAGCGTGGACTGCTGTTCATGGGAAGGTGTCTCTTGCGACGATGTCACCGGTAACGTCTTAGAACTCGATCTTTCTTGTAGTTGGCTTCGTGGCTCTCTCTATTCCAATAGCTCCCTCCCTCTCCTTCGCCATCTTCAGTACCTCAATCTTTTCGGTAATGACTTTGCTGGCTCACCCATTTCGCCAAATCTAAGTGCGTCTCCAAAAATGACTCATATGAATCTCTCCCATTCATCCTTTTCACTTGCAGACGTGCAGTTGTCTTATTGCAAATTGACCAAGTTCCCCTATTTCTTGAATTCGTTAAAAAAATTAACATCATTAGACCTCTCTTTTAATAGGATTAGTGGGGAGATCCCGAGGTGGTTTTGGGGAATAAGCCATGATACATTGGAAATATTAGATCTTTCTGATAACCTTCTGGAGGGAGATATACCACAATTGCACTGGAAAAAATTGTCATATATTGGCCTTAAGAATAACTCATTCCAAGGACCACTCCCCATCCCTCCACCTTCTACTTCTACCTTTTATGCCTCTGACAATGGTTTTACCGGTGAGATCCCCTCTTTGATTTGCCAGTTGAGTTCACTCCGGCATTTATATTTGTCTAGCAATAATCTTTTTGGGAATATGCCACAATGTTTTGGTAATATAACCAATCTCGAGGATCTAGATTTGAGTGGCAATAAATTACAAGGGCCATTACCACGCTCCCTGGTCAAATGTGTGAACTTATCATCACTACTACTCGGTCACAATGAGTTCAATGATATCTTCCCACATTGGCTGGAAGCACCAAAACTTTATACCCTTGATTTGCAATCCAACAAATTTCTTGGTAGGATGAACCTCACTTCCTTTGGACTCTCATTCCCTACTCTTCGTGTTTTATATATTTCCAACAACAATTTTACTAGACTATGGCCCTTAGAGGTTTTCTCAAACACCTCATTGTATGTAATAGATTTGTCCAACAATAAGTTTGGAGGGCCAATTCCACTTCCATCCCCTATCACATATTATTATTCCATTGCAAGTAATAAGATAACGGGAAAGATCCCTTCTTTGATATGCAATGCCACTAAGCTCGAGATCATCGACTTGTCTAACAACAGCCTAACAGGTAGCTTGCCTAGGTGCTTAACAAATTCCAACATCGCTATGTCAGTTTTGAACTTGCGAATGAATTACCTTGAGGGAATAATTCCAAAATCATTTTCTTCTATGTATAGTTTGACAACTCTTGACTTGAGTCAAAATCAGTTTGGAGGCACATTGTCCCGGTCCCTAGTCGAATGTAAATCTCTAGAATTTCTAGATCTCAGTAGTAATCAGATAGAGGATACATTCCCAAGATGGTTGGGAACACTCCCAAAGCTAAAAGTTCTCGTTTTGAGGTCCAACAACTTTAAGGGTCTTTTGAATATTCCAAAGGGAGCTATCCTATTTCCCAAGTTACGCATTTTGGACCTCTCGAGAAACAATTTCGGCGGTCCTTTGCCAACCAACTTGATAATGAACCTTGAAGGCATGATAAATAGAGAAGATGGGCAAGACGAATCATTGTATATGACACAAGCTTCCCAAATATCGTTATATGAAAACTCCGTGACCGTGACGATGAAAGGGCGAGAGGTTGAGCTAGTGAAGATCTTGACCATCTTCACAACCATCGACTTGTCACACAATTCTTTCCAAGGAGAAATTCTCGGAGTCTTTGGAAATCTTCACTCCCTCATAGGGCTCAACCTTTCGTACAACCACCTTATAGGTTCCATCCCTTCAACTTTAGGGAACTTGACTGATCTTGGATGGCTTGATCTTTCTTCGAATAAGCTTAGTGGGGGAATTCCTAGAGTACTAGGAGATTTGGCATCCCTTGGATACTTGGACCTCTCGAACAACCAACTCACTGGCCGAGTTCCTCAAGACAAGCATTTGAGCACATTTTCAAATGACTCATTTAGTGGGAATCCAGGCTTATGTGGAACTCCACTTTCAAAAGCATGCCCTGGCGATGCTCCAACTCCTCCACTATCGTCCTCGTCAACTTTCTATCCCGAAGGGTATGGAGGTTGGTTTGAACAAAAAGTACTGTGGATTGGTTATGCATCTGGAATCGTAATTGGAATTTCCATAACATATATTGCATGTGAAACTGGAAGGCCCAAATGGCTCACGCGAGGTGTTAGAATGCTAGAGACAAGAGCAGCGAAATGGATGGAGAAGACAAAGCGGAAGGCCATCAAGTTTCATGGACAAAGAAATTGTTGAGTCTCAGTCGTCTCTTTAAGTTGTGCAATGTAGATTCGGTGAATAATGATGTCACTAGACTAGCTTGAAATGTCATTTCCCTTATGGAGGCTTGTTTCTAATGTCTTCTCTTCTCGTTTCTTGGTGCAATTGTATATCAGTTCAATTGAGAAGATGAATGATGAGATTTGTCAAGCACACAGCTTTAAAAAAAAGAAACAAAAATAAAAAAAATGAAGCAAGTGTCATTAACTTCCACAAATTTCTTTTCCATCTTCCGGTGTGCGTAGCCTTGATATTGCCATGTGAATCTTTTTGCAACAAACTCCATTTGCTCCGCCCTTTACTGGCCAAAAGGTTTTGGGTGAAACCCAAAGTTCAAAAATCGAAGACATAGATTGTGAGAGATGGAAGTGGATAGTTATCCATGGGAACTGTATGTACACATTCTGTAAAAAGAAGTTACAGTAGTAATCAAACTTGCTACTTTTTAGTGGAAAAGAGAGACGTGTGTTTAACTTTCATAAGAGCGGGAGCAGTTTTTTCGGATTAAAAACTTCAGCGAGGACATTTAAGATGTGTTCTAATATGGAGCCATTAGTATCTCGTTTCTAACTTTTTCAAGGGTTACTCCTGTCTGTTTTTTTAGGTGCACAGCAAGTTTGAATCTTGGCTTTGTAGGTAATTATCGAAACCACATAATTAGACTATGGACAACTTTTTAATAATCCATAGATGAGATACGCAATAAACAACTTTTTGGAGGCAGAGATGGTATGTAATCTTCATCACCCATGAAAATTGTCAAGGCTTACATTTATTGGAAATGTAGGTTCATTGGTGATGTGATCCACTGGTCATGAATCAAATTTAGTTCTACATATATTCCGTCTTCCTTCTCTAGAATTTGTTCAGGTTTCTCATTAATGACTTGCGTATCAATCTTCAATTCTCAGGAATCCAGTGAGCATGCAAGCATCGCAAGCAGGTGGTTTGACGGTTCAATCAGTGAAGACATTCAAATAACCAATGAAGTTTACTCCATCCACACCATTGATTTTGACCGGCAAGTAAGTTGACAGATATCTCCTACAGTTTAAGCTCTTAGCTTTATTTTTGGAGCATACAAATCTCTTGCAGTCCATTTATAACTACTTGAGCAACTCCATGCCGGGCAAAAGAGAAAAAGCTCCATGGGTTGCTGAATCTGTTTCTCATTTGACATTCTGCTCTTGCATCGTAAACCAATTGATGGTTTTTCATTGTACACACCGTTACAAATTGGCATGTAGGTAACATTTGTACAGGCCTCTAATTGGTCGGGCTACCTCATTCCTCCAACTTGTACAACATTATGTAGGTGACTTCCCTTTGCATGCACAAACTTATACATGTTTATGTCGTTCTTCAGTGCACATGCAAACATTGCCGGTCGGTGAAATGGTGGTCCATGTGTTAGTGCTACAGACCTGTCGATAAGATCCAGTTTTCCGGTGATATGTGGCCTGCATTTCAAGTGGCTCCATTTCTGACCACTCTCAAAGATTAATTAAATTTTTAGGTACTCTTTTGAAATGTTAGGAATGCGTATATATGTATATATCTGTGAGTGTGTGTCTATGTATATTTATATATATTGTATTAGATGTGAGCAGGGGCTCATTTTCGACGGCCTAAAATCTTAAGAGAACTGTGTTTCCTCTGTCGTTGAATTTCCCTCTTCCATAATTGCTTCTTCTAATTAGATATAAATTTATTAGGCTCTGTGATTTCCATGTTTTACATCAGAACGTGGCCAATCCATGTTGCTGTGAAGATCAATTTCACCCCCATTTACTTGTTCTTGCTTACAGAATTTGACGATTCCCATGATTATAAGTCGGATTCAGGACATACGGGTTTGCCAATTCAAGGTTTCGTTGCCATGGAGCTACAAGTGCTTGCTGTGTCGACGCGGACTCCAGGTATATGTCGAGCAAACGAAGTTACAAATCAAAACTGCCAATGGAACATGTTGGCCAGGACGTAATTTCATCGTCCTCCCTAATCGCCTTGTGCAACTTCAGTCAGCAGACTCCATATGAATCTTTTTGCAAAAGACTCCACCTTGTAACAATACATTTTCTAGGCCTATGCCAATGCTTTCCAGAAAAATGATTTCCCCTTTTTTCAAGTAAGGGATTTCATTTTCCTAAATTTAATAATGCATATTGTAAATGTTTTTTCGTTGACTGATTATTTTCAGCAAAACCAAAACGCGTAAAAAGTCTAAAAAACTAATTCATAGAAAATTCTTTCATTCAATCGAATGCATTTATGGCTCAGACATGCCCTTCCACAGTGTTTTGGACCATTTTATCTCTTTCTTTTATTCATTGTACCCACGCTAAGGTATCACTGAACTCATCCACGGGTGCAAACAGTCTCTTCAAGGCCAGTGCCGAACTCATTCGCCGCAAACGTTATCTAGTCGCCTTTGACTTTCCAATGCCTTCTAATTTGATCAATTGCAGAGAGTTATAAAAGAGGCGAAATACTGCAAATCATCTTATAGTTTGAGTTAGAAGTAAAGCGGAAGAGAAGAATTTATGTATGTTCGATGATATAATAATGAGATTACATCAGTCTATTTATAGGCTCTATGAAATGACTAAATAAGATGACATATTGATCAACGTACGCGTAATCAAAAAGAGATATTCGCACAATCTTGAGAGACATAAAAAACCATCAGAATTATCATAAATATCTCTAACAGTTAGAAAGAAAAAAAGAATAGGAGGTTAAGCTCTTTTTGTATGTGTTTATTTTGACACTCATTTGTAGGTGTATGCAAAAGCCAGTTTATCCTTTGCATTCCAATCCACCTGAATAATATTCATACTCGTTCTAGTACAGATGAATTTAAATCCCATACAAATACATTTGTACTGAAATTAACAAACATATGTGTTTCCCCTTTTGATCGCAAACAAAAGACATCAAATATTGAATTGAAACTGAAGATGATTTCATTTCAATTCCTTTGGCTCGTCCGTGAACGTAACTTTAGGGTCGATGAAAAGAGAAAAAAGAAAGTACCTAGAAACATGGTCCGGTCAAATTAAGAGCAATTCATGGGAAGGTTTTCTATTGAAGCTTTTCTAACCTTAGCGGGTGAAAATCACTCGAAAGACAAAGGAAATACGATACTAAATTCTGTCTTAATGTCCTTTTCCGGTCATTTGGAAAGCCACTTCCGGCTGCTTTTTTCATGCTTTTCTAAGCTTTGTTTACTTTTGACAAAAGCTGGAACGCTTTTACATGGGAATCCAATCCCATTTTGATGTGGCGTTCGGTGAAAGCGCTCCAAAGTATAACGTACGTTTGGCATAAGCCCACCGACAAACCTTTGGCAAAAGACTAGTGTTGATCACTTGGCTTGTTAAACGGATTACATAAGTTGAATCCCTATCCTCATCAGGGCCACCAGACCTATCAAAGTGGGTTTAACCCAAATTTGATGGGCCGAGATTTTATATGAGTTAGTTATATTCAGTACATAGGTCATAAAAGTGTTTAGAATGGTAAAATCCAAAATAATGTGGATGTTAAATAAATTCACAGCTTACTTAGACTCAATCCACCTCTATGACTCTCTCTTCACTTTTTCTCGCCCTCACTCGATCTCACGCTCACTCACTCCTCACTCTTACCTAAGTTTGGATATAAGTTTTCCTATATTTGGTCAAATATGGAAGTGATTTAGCATTATGAGTCGGATCGAGTATGGATTAGTCGGGTTTGGATCACTAGTTTTGTATTACATAAAAATGGATCAAAACAAATTAAATGGCTCAATTTGGGTTGGACCAATTTCGATCCGACTCAAACCCAACCACCCTTTTGACGGGTCCAGCAACCACCAATGCCATTCCATCATAGGCCAACTATAAAACATCATTATGGTAGTGGTATAGTGAACAATCCAACCAATAGGGCTTTTAGAACGGCTAACCCATTTTGTGAGCTCACCAACAGACTTTCTAGAGAAGACTTGCGTCGATCACTTCACCACTTTACAAGGACAGCATAAATGGAAAATCTTACTCGCATGCTAAAGTGAATAATGGGGTGGATCTAATAGCTTTTCCTAGTGGGTGGATCAAATTATAATAAGCCTCTAAATAATGGCTGAAGAATCTCTTCTTGTTAAATCTAATCGAATGTGAAATCTAAGATAATTATCCAAAAAGTCATAAAGTTATTATACGGCAGTCAAGGACTACATTTGCAAAATTGTCAAAAAGTCAAGTACTAAATTGGCTAAATTGAAAAGTTTATAACTGAATTTATCGCCGTATAATAGATTTAGGACTTTTTTGACAATTTTCCCGTTAAATCTAATTTTTCATAACATGTATAACACTATTTCTTTCTGATTTTTCCTAGTTTTAATTAATCATGGCGCCAACCCGCTTAACAGCTCTTTTCCAATTCTGATTGGGTTGACATGGAGCAAAGCGACACCACCAAACCCTGTCCCTTTGAGGAGAAAACTCAAAAGGGAAAGAAGAATATTTGGACTTGGTTAGTTTGCTAATAATGGAGTTGGAACATTCCATTTTTAGTCTAATTAAACCCAAGACATAGTCTAATTGCTCTAGCGGGGGGAAGCGTTCTCACCAAAGTTTGACTCTTAACTGTGAAACTGTTTCCAATCTTGAATCTCTTAAGTTCAACGTTAAGTGAGAAGCCTGCCCATCATAGGCTAGCAAAGGATGTTATCCGATATGCAAGAGAGAGTCGAGAACATTGTTTGATGATGAGGCTAAAAAATATTCTCGTGATTACACAATATAAGCACGGGCCAGAAGTAACTACCCAATTTTGAATCGAGCGCCAATCATCTCTCCTAGGAGGCGAATTTAGGAAAAAAGAAAACTCTTTCAGTTAAATCGATGGCTCCAAACTCAATACAAGGAAAGATGGATTTTAAATTTGGATGAATCAATGCCTCGTATAATAAGTTGCGCCGAGTTCTTCAGCAGTTAAATCTCTTTCCAAGAATAGTCCATCTAGGATCCACTCCAGGACCGAAGGCTGCATATGCAGGGACTTATATGGTCTTGCGGTATTTCTTTCGACCAGACAGATGAAACCAAACGTGATAGTGAACAGAACTCGAGTGCTACGATAGTAATTGTGCGTGCCACGGTGCCAAAGTACGATATAACAAGTCCCTTTCCACTTTGGTTAGGCTAGATTCGAAACCCAGAAGCACGAAATTGCTTTTAGGGAACACCCAAAAAGAGAAGTCAAAAATTGTGACAACAAATCAAAATCGTCTAGTCAAATTATGTAAGCCATTGTCAATTGTTTTTGTTGGATACTCGGGAAAAAGAAGAAAAACACGTATGCCCGTAGGCATAAATCTGTGTGAGCCCGCCGACGGACCTTTCAGAGAAGACTAGTGTTGGAAGTCTATATAAGTTGAATGCCTGTCCTAGCCACCAATAAACTCGCTCGCATGATGAATTGCAAAATGGGGTGGCATCAAATCCTTGGCCTCCTCTGTTTCCTTTTTTCCTTACATTCCTACCTTCCCTTTGCATAGCCCCTTTGCCCTCCGGACCAACGCGACGCCTTGCTCCAATTTAAGAATGCCTTTGTGCTTGATAGCAAGGCGTCCAACCATAGTTGTGACCTCCCCCCCTATTCTTTGCAGACAGACTTGTGGAACAAAGGCGTAGATTGCTGCAAGTGGGATGGCATCGATTGTGATCATGTCACCGGTAACGTCATTAGTCTCGATCTTACTTGCACTTGGTTTCGTAACGATCCCTATTCCAATAGCTCCCTCCTTCTCCCGAAGCTTGAAGCGTTGACGTTGTCCTCTTGCAATTTGACCAAGTTCCCCTATTTCTTGAATTCGTTAAAAAAATTAAGAGTCTTAGACCTCTCTTTGAATAGGATTAGTGGGGAGATCCCGCGGTGGTTTTGGGGAATAAACCATGATACATTGGAATACTTAATTCTTTCAGATAACCTTCTGGAGGGAGGTATACAACAATCGCACTGGAGGAGATTGTTGTATTTTGACCTTGATAACAACTCGTTCCAAGGACCGCTCCCAATCCCTCCACCCTCTACATCTTACTTTTCTACCTCCCACAATAATTTCACTGAAGAGATCCCCCTTCGATTTGTCAGTTGAGTTCACTTTGCTATTTACATTTGTCTAGCAATAATCTCTTAGGGAATATGCCACCATGTTTTAGTAATCTAACCAATCTCATAGATCTAGACTTGAGCAGCAATAAATTACAAGGGCCATTACCGTGTTCCTTACTCAAATGCACAAACTTATCAACACTAATTCTGGGTCACAATGAGTTCAGTGATGTCTTCCCATATTGGTTAGAATCACAGCATCTGATCTACCTTGATTTGCAATCCAACAACTTTCATGGTAAGATCAACGCCACTGCCCTTGGACTCTCTTTTCCTACTCTCCAACTTTTTTTTATTTCCAACAACAACTTTATTGGAAGGTGGCCCATAGATTTTTCTCAAACACCTCATTAGGTGCAATAGATTTGTCCCACAACAATTTCGGAGGACCAATTCCACTTCCAACTCCCGACACAACTTATTATTCCATTGCAAGTAATAATATAATAGGAAACATCCCTTCTTTGATATGCAATGCCTCTTTGCTCCAGATGATCGACTTATCTAACAACGGCTTAACATGTAGCTTGCCTCGATGCTTTACAAATTTTAGCCTCGATCTAACAGTTTTGAACTTGCGAATGAATTACCTTGAGGGAACAATTCCTCAATCCTTCTGTTCGGTGAATAGCTTGATGACTCTTGACTTGAGTCGAAATCGGTTTCAAGGCACATTGCCCCGGTCTCTTGCCAAATGTAAAGATTTGGAAGTTCTAGATATCAATGACAATCAAATAGAGGATACATTCCCGAGATGGTTGGGAAAACTTCCAGAGCTAAAAGTTATGGTTTTGAGGTCCAACAATTTTAAGGGTCTTTTGAATATTTTCAGGGGAGCTCACCTCTTTCCCAAGTTACACATTTTGGACCTCTCCAACAACAAATTTGGCAGTCCTTTGCCAGTAAACTTGATAATGAACCTCAAAGACATGATGAATGGCGAAAATGGGCAGGGCAAATCAATATATATGACACAATCTTTCTTGGAAGTGTCATATGAAAATTCCATGACCGTGATGATGAAAGGGCTAGAGATTGAGCTAGTGAAAATCTTGACTATGTTCACAACTATCGACTTGTCGCACAATTCATTCGAAGGAGAAATTCCTGGAGTAATTGGACATCTTCACTCTCTCATAGGGCTCAACCTTTCTCATAACCACCTTACAGGTTCTATCCCTTTGACTCTAGGAAACTTGACTAATCTTGGATGGCTTGATCTTTCTTCAAACGAGCTTAGTGGGGTAATTCCTAGAGTACTGGGAGATTTGGCGTCCCTTGGATACTTAAATCTCTCGAAGAATCAACTTTTCGGTAGAATTCCTCAAGACAAGCAATTGAGCACATTTTCAAGTGACTCGTTTGGTGGGAATCCAGGCTTATGTAGAACTCCATTGATAAAAGCTTGCCCTGGCGATGCTCAACCTCCTCCACCATCATCCTCGTCAACTTTCGACCACGAAGGGCACGAGAGTTGGTTCAAACAAAAAGCAATGTGGATAGGTTATGCGTCAGGAATTGTAGTTGGGATTTCCATTGCATACATTGCATATGAAACGAGAACACCCAAATGGCTTCCGCGAGGTGTGAGAATATTGGAGAGAAGAGTGGCCAAGTTGATGGAGAAGCCAAAACGGAGGGCGATCAAATTTCATTGACAATGAAATTGTTTGAGGAGATGTCCCTTTAAATTGCGCAAAATAGATTCAATGAATTAAGTGTTCACCAAACCAGCTTGAATTGTCATTTCCCTTATGAAGGCTTGTTTCTAATGTCTTCTCTTCTTGTTTCTGATTGCAATTGTATATCAATCTAATTGACAAAATGAATAATGAGATCTATCAAGCACATAGCTTAAGAAAAAGCAAAAAGAAGAAAAATGATGCAAGTGCCATTAACCTCTACAAATATATTTTCCATCTTCTCATGTGCGTAGCTTTTACTTTTCAATGAATGATTAGAAGTGAAGACTGGCCTCAACCCATTCAACGAAAGTTGTGAACAAATTAATCTGCAGAGAAAATATGTCCTAAAGAATCAACACTAATATCTTTGAAGTTGCACTTCAGTAATAGATTGTGGACTGAAAGCTATTATACGTTGTCTTTGATAGAGAACGTAGGTCGAAGTGGAACTGAAAATTGTCCAATGAAATATTCAAAGTATCTTCAAATTCCAAATAATTCTACTAAAAAATGATAAAAGAGAGTGTCCTCCTCGATCATTCACTGTCCAAATTCAAAGTAATTTGTCTACTTAAGGTCATGGCTATAGCCATGCATGTCTTTATTAATGGTCATATTCTGCCCATAGATTATGTCATAGATAAAGATGCTACCATAGACTTGATTAATATGCCTTCAAGAATAGGGAACAAAGACTTCCTTGCCGTGTGGCAAGATTGAATGATAACGGAAGAAATTAACCAGTAAAATCCAAGTTATTAGATCAGCCTATCGATGCCCATCTGACGCAGGGTAAGCTATAACTGAAAAAAAAAAAAAACTTTCCTAAGTAATTCTGAAATTCAATTGATAGTAGTCTTTTTTTTTCATTCATCGTAGCATCCTTTTATAGGCGAGTAAGGAACAACCCTCTAAGCTTGGAAAATAGAGAACTTAATAAATTCGTAGAAGACAAATCACAATTAATAAGGACTCTGGAAATCTAAAACTATTCAACTACTCTCAAAAATATAAGAGATCATTAATGGCCTTCAAAGTCTTCGAGGAATGCTCCGGCATCAGTCACGGTCAAATCGCGTCAGTTTTTGGCGATCACCTTTGTCAAGATAATCACATGCCAATCGTTCTACATCATTCTCTCCTTCTTCAGAAGAACTCGCCCTCGAGTTATCATCAGGATAAAGTGGAATGTCTGGAGCGTGATACTCGAATAGGTCCGCCACGTTGAATGTTGGAGAGATATTAAGATCACCAGGAAGATCAACAACATAGGCATTGTCGTTGATCTTTTTCATAATTCGGCAAGGACCAATCTTCTTGTTGTTCAGCTTATTATATATACCAACGGGAAATCGCTCCTTGCGTAGAAAGACCATGACTTCATCGCCTACATCAAAAGTTTTGGAATGACGTCGCTTGTCAGCATGATCCTTATACTTGGCATTGGACTCAACAAGTTGGCGTGCAACGTCAGCTTGAACCTCCATAATTTTTGTCGCCAAATTTTCTGCTGCTACACTATAACCAGGAATCTTAGGCAGAGGGACCAGATCAAGTGTATGCTGAGGCACACGACCATAAATAACTTCAAATAGAGACTTCCCAGTAGACCGATTAACCGTATTGTTGAAAGCAAATTCTGCCGGGGCAACATATCGATCCCACTGTTTTGGCGTGTTATTGCAAAGACAACGGATGATGTCCGCCATTGTCCGATTAACCACTTCGGTCTGCCCATCAGTCTGAGGATGGAAGGAACTACTATACTGCAAATTAGTTCCAAACAACTTCCATAGAGTCCTCCAGAAGTGACTGAAAAACTTAGTATCTCGATCAGAAGTAATCGTCTTTGGAACACCATGCAAACGAACTACGTCGTGGAAGAAAAGGCCAGAGCATGAGAAGCATCGAATGTCTTCTTACAAGGTATAAAGTGTGACATCTTTGTAAAACGATCCACTACCACATAGATAGAATCCATACCTCGTTGAGTTCGCGGAAGTCCCGGAACAAAATCCATGGATATATCCACCCAAGGTCCGATTGGAATTGGCAATGGTGTATAAAGGCCAGTATTCTGTGAATGCCCCTTTGCAACCTGACAGACAGGACACTTCTGTACAAAACGGCCAACGTCCCGCTTCAATTGTGACCAAAAATATCGCTCCTCCACCAAGGCGATGGACTTATACGGTCGAGATGTCCCCTAAGGCTTCCTCCATGTAGCTTTCGAATCAGTTTCTCTCGAAGAAAACTTTGAGGAATACACAACCTATTGCCATAAAACAAGAATTTATCGCATATAATCATATCACTAGCAGAACCAGCAGCTTGACACTTCGCCCAAGTGTCTCGAAAATCCTCATCGTCTGGATAAAGATCACATAAAGACTCAAAATCCACTACTTTGTTTTTCATGATAACCAGTAATGCAGCTCGGCGGCTTAAAGCATCCGCCACTTTGTTTAGATGACCTGCCTTATGTCGAAGCACAAAATTAAACTGCTCCAAGAAAGAAACCCAGCGCTCATGCATCTTATTTAAATGCTTTTGGCCCTTGATGTATTTGAGCGCTTGGCGATCAGTATTGAGTATAAACTCACGCTGATAGAGATAAGGCTGCCAATTCTTAATAGCTCGAACCACAGCGTAAAATTCTTGCTCATAAGTAGACCATCGGCGTCAAGCTTCATTCAATTTTTCACTGAAATAAGCAACCGGTTTATCTTCTTGCGAGAGTACTGCGCCAATTCCGACTCCCGAAGCATCACAATCTAGCTCGAACAATTTATCAAAATTCGACAAAGTTAGAACAGGAGCAGTAGATAATTTCTCTTTTATCAAGGCAAAGCTTGCCTCAGCTACATCATCCCAGCGAAATTGCCCCTTCTTCAAACATTCTGTGATAGGTGCTAAGATAGTACTGAAATTACGAATGAACCTGCGATAGAATGTCGTCAATCCATGAAAACTCCGCACCTCCCCAACAGTCTTGTGTGTAGGCCACTCTTGAATCGCGGCAACCTTCGCCTCATCAACTCGAAGGCCATCTGCACTAACAATGTATCCCAAAAATAGCAATTCACTGGTCATAAAACTGCATCTAGGCAAGTTGATATAGAGGTGATTGTTCTCCAAAACCTGCAAAACATCTCGAAGTTGGTCTACATGTTGCTGCTCATTGGGGCTATAGACAAGTATATCATCGAAATAAACCACCACGAACTTTCCCAAGAAAGGTTTAAGGACTTGCGTCATCAAGCGCATAAAAGTGCTAGGAGCATTGGAAAGTCCAAAGAGCATGACTAACCACTCGTAAAGTCCTTCGCTGGTTTTGAATGCCGTCTTCCATTTATCCCCGGGTCTCATACGAATCTGATGGTACCCACTCCGCAAATCAATCTTCGAAAAGATCTTTGATCCAAACAACCTGTCAAGCATATCATCCAAACGGGGAATAGGGAAGCGGCACCTCACAGTAATTTTATTGATTGCTCGACTATCCATGCACATCCGTATGCTCTCATCTTTCTTTGGTGTAAGTAAAGCAGGAACTGCACAAGGGCTCATGCTCTCTCGTATAAATCCCTTCCGAAGAAGTTCTTCCACCTTTTCCCATAATATCTGATTCTCCTTCGAGGTCATGCGATAGTGGGGCAAATTTGGAAGACTAGCACCCGGTAAGAAATCAATTTGGTGCTGAATGTCTCGCATCGATGGTAGTCCATCCGATAGATCCTCAGGAATAAGACTAGAAAAAGCCTTCAGTAATGGTTGAAGTGCTTCTGGAATTTCGATGGTTTCCTGCTTAGATCCACTATCCACGATCAAGTACATACCATTCTTCTTGCGAACATTAAGTAAAACACCAGCCTTGTCCTTGTCCTGTTTTTGAGTAGTTCGCAGAACACAAGTAGCTTCATCCAAGGGACGAAGGGTAATTTTCGTCCTATCCCACACAAACGAATAAACATTCTCACACGCTCGGTGAGTAACATCAACATCATACTGCCATGGCCGTCCCAGCAAGATGTGGCATGCATCCATCTCAACAACATCACAGATTATCGTATCTTTGTACGCTTTTTTCAATAGAAATAGGCAAACGACAAATCTAAGTTACCTTTAATTCCGGCCCCTTACGAATCTAGCCAATCGTATAGGGCGAGGGATGAACTTCAGTCTTTAGTTGGAGATGATCGACAAGCGCCTGCGATATGATATTCTCGCAACTTCCGCTGTCGATGATGACGTCGCAGACCTTTCCACTGATGGTGCAACAGGTGCAGAAAAGGTTATTCCACTGCGAATCTTCCTTCTGTGGGGCTAACAGCAGTCGTCTAACCACACAATTAACATGTTCTCCTTCTTCGTCGACTATCTCTTCTTCGTCCCCCCAATCCTCCTCATTAAGCTCATCTTCAGGTTAGACCAGATTCGCCATCTTCCGCCACGGACAGTCACTCGAATGGTGCCCAGGCTCATTACATTTAAAGCACTTTCCTGGATAGGGCTTGGCATAAGGATTCGGAACAACATCACAAGCCTTTGACGCAGCGAATTCAGAAGGTTTGGGCGCCTCAACATTACTCTCCAAACTTTAGTTTGTATTGTTGAATTGCCGATTAGAGGACTCAGCACCCTCCTGCGATTTTCCTCACCCGAATTGTTCTCGAGGAGCATAATTTCCCATTCTGCTTGAGTAATTGTTTCGCTCCAACTGCAATTCCACTTTCCTAGCCATCTCTTGCACATTCTCGACAGAGTATAAACGATGTAACGAAACACGATCTTGAATATTCAAACGTAGACCATTGATATACCTGGCGGTTTGTTGCGCTTCAGATTCGGCAAGATTATTGCGGGCCGAAAGTTGAAGGCATTCCTCCGTGTAAGCTTGAACTGTCCGACTTCCTTGTTTGCAAGCCTGAAATTGCTAGAACAAAACTTGCTCAAAGTCAGCAGGAAGGAAT